GGTCACCTTCAGGCTGTAATTCCGTGTTCGATTGCTCTAATGATGCCAATTTCTGCATCCACCAATTAATTGCCTTAAAATGTTGCTCAACATGGCAAACACATGGATTATTGCTGAATTTCTAGCTAGCACGAGGAAGATAAGGCACACTAATTAAGGAATTTTCCAAAGAGGAGGTCAAGGCTGGGAAATCTCATGAAAGTCTGTTTGGGTTAAGGGACTTTGGAGTTAACACCTGTATGTGGGTCTTCATTGTACTACCCACTGGCTGTTAATTTTGGGTTTCAGTTGTCTTAATTGTCAACCGAGATAATAACCTGACGCTGAGCCTCTGCTGCCCTCCTGGCCTTCCAGTGCTCTCGTCCATCCACTCTGCACTCCCTGAAATGCTGCTCCACATCTCTCTCTTCCAACAACTCCTCCCTTCACCTTCTTTTTCTGCTCACTCAGGAGATACCTTGTTTATTTTTCACTGAGAAAACAGAAGCAGTGAGAAGATCTCCATCCAACCAGCACCAACTCCACCAAACTTTCTGAGGCTCTCTCCTTATGGGTAAACTACCTCATTCAATTCTCAAGTCAATCCTTCTTCTAGCTCACTGCATCTCACCTCCTTCATCTACTCAAGGAACTCCAGCATTTCTACCTCACTCGGTCCTGCACCATCAGATTAAAAACATGCTGAAACAAGCTCCTGTATTTAAAAAAAGCAAAACAAAGCACTCACTCACTGGATACTCTAGTCTCCTCTAGCTAATTCTCTTCACTGAGCCTCTCAAATAAAAATAATCCCCTAACTTGCTCACCACCTCCTCCACTCCCCCTCCAGCATTCTGTTATGAAGTCTTGGCAGTTAAGTTTTCATTCACCACCACTTCACTAATCTGCTCCTGTTAAGGTCCCCCAAAGGTATCCCCTTTGCTAAATGCAGTGGCCAAACCTGAAACCTCACATTGCTTGACATATACGCTTCATCTCTTGCTGCTGGTTATTCTCTCTTCCTTCAATCATTGCCTTCCCTCAGCTTGTAAAACAGTCTCTTGAGTTCTTCTCTTCCCTCATCAGCCTCTCCTTCTCAGTTACTTTGCTTGTCCTTGCTAATCTTCTTGACCTCAAAATATTAGAGCGCTCCAGCCTCAGTTTACTTCTCTATATAGTGATCTCGTCTAGTCTCATGGCTTGAAATAGCATCTACGTGCTTATGACTCCTGAGCGTATTACTCCAGCCTGGACCTCTCCCCTGAATCCCAGAATCATGTATCCAAACACCCTCTTGGCAGCTCCACTTGAATTCCAAATAAGCATTGTAAACTTAACTTTTCCAAAACTGAACTCTGGATCCCCACCCCCTCCCTGACACCAACATGATTTCTTTGAGTAAACAGCCCCTCCATTCACCCAGATGCTCAGACTAAAAACTGTCAGGTCATTCTTGACTCCCTTCTCTCCTTCATACTCTGCACCCAATCCCTGAGCAAACCTAAGTGGTTCCACCTTCAAAATGGAGCACACATTCAACCACATCTTACCAAAACTTACGAGGACATCTTAAGTTACTGCTTACCAGGGTAACTGCAGGAGTCTCCCAACTGGTCTCCCTGCTTCCATCTAGCCCTTCTAGAGTCTACTTTCCACATAGCCACCAGGATGACCCTTTTAAAATAAGAGTCAGAATCTGTCACTTCCCTGCTCAAAACCATCACCCTTAGAATGAGTGCCAAGCCCCGCCATGACTACGAGACCTGGCATGAAGCCTGCCTCTCTGCCTTTGTCTTCCCTGTCACTGTACTCCAGACACATCAGCTACCTGGCATTCTCCAAATACCCACCTGATTCCCTTGTCAGGGCCTTTGCCCTTGGTTTTCCAACTATCCAGAATGTTTATCTCCAAAAGAGCTCACATTGCACTTCCTTCACATCTCTGTTATAACACTGCCTGTAGAGAAGTTTTCCTTGACACTTTCTAAAACCTGGCTCTGCCTCTCTCCTTCAGAGCCCTCATCCCTGCCCTCACTTATAATACATCTTTGTTTATTTCTCTATTCATCCATTAGATCTTAAAACCTTAGGGATAAGGGGTTTGCTTACTTCGCTGCTATTTCCCTGAAGCAAAAGACAATGGTGGCTCATGGTGGCTGCCCGATAAATGAATTACTGAATGAGTGAATGAATGAATGACCTCTCACTTCTAGGGTTGCTAAGATTAGTACATGAACTTAAGCATACAGGGCAGCTTCTAGCCCATCATCAAGAACTGAAGAATATCTACTCCTTCTACCACTATTATAAATATAATGGAGTGGGGCCATGGCAGGGCCTGTCATTTTGTGCCATCTGCTATTACGGGAGCTTGCTTCTATTTCTCTGTTTCCTATGTTCTCATCTGACCTCTGCTCTTTAGGAACAATTGGAGAAAAATGTGTTCCTTTGAACTCACTGCTGGGACTTTGTTTAACTTGTAGGCATTTCTTTTAAACTGTCCACTTGAGTAAACAATGTCCCATTGACTTCCCAGCAAATTCTCCAGCTGTAAAGACAGGCAGGCTCTGAAAGTCTGATACAATTTCTAGCCATATTGCCCACAGCAAGGAAAATGCTGCAAGTTTCTTGGCAACATACTAAACTGCAAAACATGTATGATGGGAGAGTGTGCAGAGGGAAATAAAGAACATGAGCACAGGAGAGACCAGATTGGATGTATGCAGGCATCGCCCAGCCATTCCCTGCACTGGCAGCTGAGGTCACACCCTAACATCTGATATGCCCCCCTTGATAAACACACATGCATCTTTATTATTTTTAAGTAATTTGAAATATAAAAGATATATATAATATATATAAATATCATATATACTTCCTAAAATGTAGACACCTTCTCACGCCACACCCCTTCCCATCCTCACTGACCACCATAAGTATTTCCATGCCCCAGGTGGGCAGAAGGGATAACTCTCTCCTTGCACCCCCCATTCAGCTCCTATCAACTCACTCACAGTGAAAAGAATGTGGGGTTTAGGGGAAAGCAGATGTAATTTTGAACCCTGTTCTTGACTCACATAACCTGTGTGAGCTTGGGCAAATTCTTTAAAGTCTCTGAGCCTCCTTTACTCCAGGAGTGACAGAGCAATGTTGAATGGTTGAGAAGATAAAGGATCATCTGTGAAGCACTTAGCCCAGCCTCATATTCCATCTCCTTGCTCCCCTGTAAGGTTCCTGATAAAGAGTGCCAGCTTCACATGCCAGAGCTAACTTCAAGTAGACAAATAAGTCCAATCACACCACATACCAGGAAGGTGAAGAGACCAACTAGGCATCATTGTGTACATACACTAGAAATACAAATAGTTTAAAAACTATCCTTCACTTTACTTGAATCCATGCATTGACAATTTGAGTGGGATTCATTAGACACTTCTTCCTGTCTCATCTAGTCATGTTGTTCCCTACAGAGAAGGAGGGTGGTGTCACTTCTGGGGTCTCACTTGAGTGATGGGGGATGACTGGAATGTGTGTTTCTCGTAATCCTTCAGGTGATGTTGGGTTTGCTTATATGGCAATTTTGGCAGGTTTCCAAGAGGGGGGACAGAGACAAGCAAGGCATCTTGAGGTTTAGGCTTGGAACTGGCTTAACATTGCTTCTACTACTGTCTACTGGTCAAAGTCCCAATGAGTGGGAATTCATGCTCTGCCTTTGATGGAAGGAGCTGCAAAGTCACATCACAAAGGGCAATGGTGAAGGGGAGGTGGTAGAGAATGATCTACCCCAAGCACAGTGACTACCACATCTTCTTGGTCTTTTGAGGGAGAAGGTCTGGAATTGATGAGAGCACTATATTTGACAAGACCAGATCAACACGTGTCACATGCCCTGGAGTCTTTGACCACACCTAATGGAGGCCATTATTAGACTGCCAACCTTAGCACCTTTTTGTCTACATCTTTGGATCATATGCATTAATTCCAGTCAAATGGCAGAGCCCCCTTTATAAAAGGAAACTACCTCAAAGGTGAAATACCTCATGGCAGCTAATGAGTGCCCTAAGTGGTTCATCAGGAAAACTGCACACTAAAGGCTGGTCATGAAAAGGGATAGTGATTATAAAAGACTTTTTAAAAGCCTCTGTGGCTGAAATGGACAGAGCAGGAGGGATGGTGGTGCCTGTTGTCATGGGGATCCAGAGTCTGCCAGTCCCTGGAACCCATTACTATGAGCTTTCTTTAAACCCTAGAACAAAGGAAATTCCCTGAAGGATTTAAAACATGCTCACAATTGTGTTTCCAAAAGACCCATCCAGCTCATGTGTGAAGCCTGGATGAGGTACAGACTGGACCCAGGCCAGATCTTTCAGAAGTCAGTCCTTTGCCAAAACCATTTTGGTGCCTCTTCACAAATCCCGAAGGCAAAGGAGAAATGGTGTAGCTGCCAAGGCCAATAGCAAGTGGCACTATAAGGGAAAGAGCAGAGAAAGTCAACTGGACAATTCTACATTGTGTCCTACACACACATACACACACACACTGGAGAGTTTAGCCAAATTGATTCCAAGTCACACAGAGGCCTCTTACTTTGCTGTGTATGGAGATGAGTGACTGCTAAGTGACCAGCAGAGTCCCAGGCTCTGCAACTGGTTCTTTGAGCCAAGGGTCCATACAACCAATATTTCCAGTTATTCATATTCAAAAGTCAAACAGTATTAAAAACTGAGTATCGTGAGTCCATCAGCTGGACATCAAGGAGGGAGGCAAAAGGAACAGAAGCAAAGGCAAGGAGGGGTCTCTGTGTGGTCTGCATGGCAGGGGGTGGATTGGGGGCTGCGAATCCCTCTAGATTGGGGGCTGCAAATCCCACTGACATCCTTCACCCACACAGGGACATATGTGAGCCTCTTGCAGGGTTGAGGGTGTCAGTGGGAACAGAGCTGCGCCTGGAGCAGACCTCACCCCCACAGTGTGAGCGAGCATGATCGAGTAAGAGAGTCTGTTCTGTCATTGCATTGCAGCTCCAGAAACTAAAACGATCACTTTCTTTCAAGACCAAGAGTTTACGGAGCAAAAGTGCTGACAACTTCTTCCAGCGAACCAACAGCGACGCGAAGTTGCAAGCAGACATGCTGGCTGAGGTCAGCCCCAGCTCCAGCCCGCTCCCCACCTCCGGAAGCCTGACCTCCACACCCACCAGGACTGGCCTGCACCCAGGCAGCAGCGGCAAGGCCCATGCCTTCCAGGAACACATCTTCAAGAAGCCCACCTTCTGTGATGTCTGCAACCACATGATCGTAGGTAAGGTCTTCCCGGCCCCTCCCTTTGCCCCTTTCTCAAGGTGCCAGGGCCCCTGAAAGCCAGTTGACGATGGTGAACAAGTCTGGGTCCCCACCCACAGACTCCCAACCTCGAGATTTGCATGCGAAGGTTTACCCAGGAGTGTTTTGGGAATGACATTTGTGAAAAGATAAAAGAAGCAGGATTGGGCAGAGGGAGAAACTGGTTGTGATCTAGTTGTGACAAAGCCATCCCTCTTCCCCAGGGAGCTCCAAAGCCCCCTCCAGTTAACTGGCATCAGGGCTGAAGGTCTGGGTCTTTATACTCCCGCATCTACTGTCTTTGTATCTGGGCAGCCCCAAGAGAGTGGGGCAGGATCTTGAACAAAGCAGGTCATTTCCGGGAAGGGCACTAGCAAAGAGGGAATCAGTGGGAGGCAACCGAGATGCTGGGCATGTGGGAACTGAAGGCTCAGTTGTGCAGGGGGATCCGCAGTGTGCACTGCGGGTGTCTGCAGGGGAGCAGGTCTGTCACTTGATGAGTTAAAGGGGAATGATGGAGGCAGGTGTGGGAGGGGTGATTCTGGGGCTGAGGGCCCTCGTGGAGATGCACTGAATCAGGCAGGAAAGGAATAACGTTTCTTCTGTGCGCGGGCTCGCAGTGAAGCATATGTGGGCAGGGCATCTGCAGTCTCCACTATGACCATATTAGTAAACCTCATTTGAAGACCTGAGGACGATAATGCCAATCATGTGATTGTAATCCACTGATGGCTTAGTGACATCACGTGGTGAGAGACCATTTTGCTTCAGAGGGGGTAGAGAGGTCCTTTTCTGTTTGGGACACAGCATGGAAGAATGTTGACTCAAATTTTGCTCCTGGCTAGTCCTATGACATAATTAGCCCTTTCCTGTTCCTGATTGAATGGGAGGAGGCAATGAGGATGGTTGAGAGGAATCAAATGATCTGGATTTGAGTTCTGGGCAGCTTTGTGACCTACAGCCAGTGACTCACCTTCTCTGGACCTGTGTCATCATTTTACGTAGAGATGATAATACCACGCACAGGTCCTGTGTGGATTAATGAACTGGCTGAGGGGAAGTAGGATCTCAGTTAAGGGAATCATTGGTGTTGGTGTTATCATCATGAGTATTAAAGGAAAAAGTAATCATCACTCTCCTGAGGCAGAGAAAGATATTCAGAGGATAAACCAATTAGTTTAAAACGGAAAAAATAGATAACTGACAAAGCATAAATAACTGAAAACATAATGTCCCGGCAGCAAGAAGTAATTAGCCCCTCAAATACACAGAGATGCTTTGCATACACCTTAAGGATTGTCTCTCATTCTGCATGTCATATTCTAAGAAGGATAAGGACAAGCTTGCAGGTCTAAAGAGGGTGTGATCAGAATAAGGGGTGTATCAAAATAAAATTGTGAGGAAGCTCTGGGAGTCTGGCATGGAAAAGACAGGATTTGCAAGTATGTTTAAAATGCCATGTTGGAAGAGTCAAGAGATTTGTCATATGTGGCTTCTGAGGGAAGGGTTGAAGTGCACAGGCAAACTTCAGTAAGAATCTAACCTATTTAGCTGATACACTTGACCTGCATTTGAATGGATTGCTTTGTGAGTAGCAAGTAGTTTAACTTCTGTGAGGCAGAATGATTTATGGCTCTTTTTGAGCAATGGGATGAAGTCAGAATAGGTTAGGAAATAATTAATGATCAAACAAGAACATGGCAGAAAGGTCCTTTCTAATTAAATTATCTCTTATTTTTTTGAAGTGAGTCTTGGAATGTTTGTTGCTTCTCAAAGAGGACAATGTGTGTCACCATTGAATTTGGACATTCCGTGGTTTCCAGTATGTCCAGGAAGGCAGGGTTCTGTAGCCCCTACCTCTCTTGGCCAAGACCCAGTTAAGAGTGGAATATTCAAAATGGGGATCCATGTCACCCCTCTTGTGACCATATAACAAAGCCTGTCCTCATCTTCAGGAAACCATAATCTCCTCACACTCCCATTTTTAAGTCACTATTTTCATGTTCTTCCTTCAAATAGGCCACCTTTCAGAATAGTGCTCATGTCCATCAAGAATTTCAACAATAATGTGGTGCAACTATTCTAAAATTCCAGTGCTTAAAGAACTTTATTTTACACTAACTCAGGCATCTTCAGATTTGTTGCAGTTTGGCTGATGCAGACTCAGCTCAGTTATTGCATCTTCTCTCTCTTCCTTACCACCTTCCCTGGGCCAGTGGGCTCGTCATGTCATGTTCTTCTCACGATGGGGACAAGAGAATGTCTACAAAGTGTCTTAGGTCCTTGGTTGGAGGTGGCACTACGTCACGTCCACTAGCATTGCACCAGCTGAATCGAGTTATGTGGCCAAGCTCACATTATGGGGTGGAGAAGTGCCTCCCCACCAGCAGCAGGGACTGCAAAGCCACCCGACTAATGGCAGGGGTACAGGGGAAGAGAATGGCATCAATAATCCATCAACCGCAGTGCTTAGGATGGCCTCTGGATGGCTGAGCCTTTTCCTTTTTTTTTTTTTTAAAGATTCATTTATTTATGCATACAAGAACTGAGGTGCAGGCCAGAGGTGCAGGAGGTGAGAAGAAGATTCACCGGAGACAGAGTGTGGAACAGAACAGGCAGACTGACTGAAGTACACTGCTGAGGGGAGCAGTGGGTGAGACAGGAGAGGTCTGCTGCCCCTTGTGGGTAGCTCCCTGGCCGGCTGGGGATTAATCTCATGCTGCAGAGGCTGTAGGCAGCTTCACAGTGCTGTGCTTAACCCCTTACACCACCAGGGAGGCCCCAGATGAGCCTTTTTCTTTAGGTAGATTCTGCAAAGCTTGGAGCTTCCACTTCATGTCCTCCCTGGAGGTGACTGATATCCACCCTCAGAACGTTAGCACGCAGCAGGGGCATCTCATTGTGCTGCGTGATCACAAAACTTAGGTAATTTGGCCTCCACCTTAAGTTGTGCAGCCTTTGTGTCTGCCTGACAACTTCTGGATGTGATGCGTCACTTTAAATTTCTACCCAAATTTCACCAGGCCTTTTCAAGGCAGTGCTATTCATAACCCTTAAATAAGTGAGATGAGTCTCTATTTTAAATCTCATTGTGACGAGTGTGAAAAGACAAACGAAACATGTGCTTTTTAAATGAGTAACGGAAATGAGTTCACCTCCAAGGGACGTCACCATCATTATCCTAAACAGATACCCCTCAAGTATCGCACCAATTTTGCGAGACTCTATTTTGAAATTCACAAAAAAGCATGCCCTGTGCAAAAGGGAATTGCACTATATTTTTCCTTTGTCGAATTGCATTATATTGTGGCTGCCTTTTAATCTTAAGAAAGGAAGAAGGGAAAAGTCACGAAGGCCTGCTGCTCTTTTCAAAGATGAAAACAAATTAAACCAAATAGTAGGCTCCTTCTAGGAAAGGAAAAAAGAGATTAGAGCCAGGCTATGCGGGGCTGGAAGGAAAGAGGAAAGAATAACTTGGCAGGAGAAAGGAGAGCAGAGGAAGAGAAGTTAGGGGGAAGGAGAGGCTGACAAATGTTTCACTTCCAGTAACAGTGCCTAGAGCTTTTAAATCTGTGATAACGGAGGACAATTCATCTGCCTCTTTGTGTTTCTTCCTCAAACCTAGACTCCTGGTTCCATACATGTTACTGGAAGATTGGTTTCCTTAAGCCACAGGTCACATTCATATTTCAAATTCTAGGAAAAAACCTCCTGCTGGTATCCTCGTAGAATGACATTTTAGAAAATATATTAAAGCAGTTTTCTTCTTCCTTTCAAATGGGAATCAAAGGTTAGTAATGGCCAAGAAAAATCTAACTTCATTTGTGCAGTTTCTAGCTGATGGATATTTGTTTAGAAATAAAAGTAATCTGGCATCCTTACTGCATGAGATTTCTAAGTTGGGATGGATCCTGGAGTTAGCTTTGCCCTTGCACTTGACACCTGAAGCTGCTCCTCCCTCGTGACCAGGTCCCAGGTCCCTAGGTGAAGTGGTCATCGTGGCAGGTTTTAATTTCTTCTTCTGACTCGCTTATCATAATAGCTGGTTCTCTTACAGTTTATTGTCAACTCCAAGCACAATGGCTATCTGTAGGTGTCTTTTGTTTAATATAGTATAATCCTTTGAAATACATTTTTCCTTACAGCATGGCTGAGCTGGGGTAGGGAGACAGATTAGAGAATGCCATTACTTAGACTAGGCAAAAGGCAAATGTGACTGCATCAACTCCAGAGGACAGAGCTGTGCTGTGGCACGTTCATGGTCATGACCTTGGCACTAAGCCTGACACCCATCCTGGAATGGCCGTTCAAGATGAGTGTGTCTAGTGAGTGAGTAAGTAGACAAATGAGAAATGTCACTATCAGAATTATGCTTATGATGATTTTTTTATTATATACAAAGCAAGATACTCAGAATTAAGTTAGAACTACCGATAATCTCAATGACCATTGATCAAACAATCAGACATTGAAGACCCACTGTGTGCTTGGCCCATGGTGTGGCTATCTGGGGAAACAAAATCTATTATCTTTGTAAATGTGAGTGAGGACACTGAGAGGTAGCAAAGGCAAAGGGCAGAGAGTTGTTCAGAAACTGGGAGAAGTGAGAAGCCCCTGCTGCTTTAAGCTGGAGGCCTGTTGGGCCTTCCTCCATGAAGGACGTCCTGTTCCGGGATTCATTGGGTTTAATAGGTCTCCACGTGCTCCCGCTGGCCCTCCAAGGTGAGCCCCTCCCCTTCCTCCACCCAGGTGATCAGGCTGGAATGTCTTAAAACCAAAATCACAGGTGACAGGCTATCTGAACACCATTTGGGTCCAGTTAGGGGAAGTCAGGAGGCCAAATGGAGTCTTAGAATCTAGTTCTCGATGGTGTTGGACATACTTCACCACATGTTCCCAAAACTGCCTGTCCTGATGTCCGTATAGAGGAAGACATGCCACCCCCTCGATCCCGTTTTAAACATCTCATGAGTATTAAGA